TATTCTCCCCCCACCCATCTTAAGATGTTTTCCAGTGATTTGAGATGAAAGCTGCCGCTCACTTTTATTTGATAAAAGTGGCGTCTCGCTTGTGAAAACAGCCAAAGGCGCACCTTGGGGTTGAATCCGGTTCCAAACAAGTTTGACTCCAAATTACAATCTGAAGGAGTCACTTCTCTTTAGTGTTAAGACTAAGGAGCCCTGAGCGAGGAAAGCAAGAAGCCAGCAAGTGGCAAAAAAACCTTTGTCAAAAATAGCTCGTTTCAATCACTTTACCGCAGCTTCTGAAGTCCACCGTCTTTCCATCCGTAGCGAACCACGTTATCGAACCACGTGGCTTCCCCTTCTCTGCATTTTTTCACACAGGTAATCCTCAACGTACGACCGCAAGCAGAACCCAAAACCTCTGCCGTTCAAGCCAGACCTCAGTTCGCTTCTCCTCCCCCTTTTACAACTTTCCTAGCCACAGGTCATTAAGCAAATCGCTGCCGTTCCTAAGTGAGTCACACACTTGTGAAGCAAATTCAGCTTTCACTCTGCTGGTCAGAAGGTTGCAAAAGGGGGCGGGGGTCACGTCAACCCTGCATCCGTCGCAAATACGAGTCTGAATTTTGATCACGTGACCATGGGAAGAGGCTGGAAAATGGACATGGGTGTGTGTGGGGGAGGGGAAAGGTCATGAAGTCGCTTTTCTCAGTGCTGTCGCTGCTTTGGAAGGGGTCATTAAATGAAGCACGGTAAGTCGAGGATTACCTGTCCTTTCTACCTTCAAAACAAAAAACATGCCCAGGTGAATTGGAACTATCCCTTGTTGAAAAACAGACAAGGCTGCTTCCTACACAGACACGATCTTTTGAACACCAGGGCAAACCGACAGGTAGGTCCAACCGGTGGTGGGATTCAGGCAGTTCACACCGGTTCGAGAGAACTGGTTGTTAACGTTCAGAGCAGTTTGGGGAACTGGTTGTTTGAAGAAATCATTAGGGCAGAGAACCGGTTATTAAATTATTTGAATCCCACCATTGGCTCCAACCCTAAACCAAGTGACCCCGTAGAGTTAGAATTGACCCTTATAACGTACATTTTGGGCAGTGCAGATACAAAGAGAAACGTTGATTGCTTCTTCTTCTTCTGTTTTTCTCTCTCACACTCTCTTTTTTTCTTTAAATTTCCAGTACCTCTGTTGTAATAAAGTTTTAACAAAAATAATTCACTATTCATAGAAGCCGCCAGCTGGCACTGCCAACTAATAAGTCTGTAGTAGTCTCAGAAAATTCTAATCCGGTAGAATTCCTTATGTTTTTTTTTTTGACGGGGGGAAGGAGGAGGAGAGCCCCGAGACCATGGTCGCTGGTCTGTGGGAACGTCGGAGAGGGTGGAGGTTGAGCGGAGGCGGGCGGGGTACCTGAGTTCTTACATTTCCTGGCCCACTGTGTCTCTCTCTCACAACTTCCCAGCCTTCATGTAAGAAGGGATCGAACCCCGCTGAGTCAGCCCTTCGAATCTCTTGTAGGTGTAATTCAGGAAGACCCAATCTTTGGACTTGAAATCCGGTTCAGTGGTATTCGGCACTGAAATGCAAAAAAAGGATTTGATTGTGAGGGCAATGGAGGGATTCAAGGTTACCGTGTGCAAGTAGAAAGTAGGAAGGGGATCTCGAACTACACGTTTATTATTAAACCGCGAGGTCCTCTCTGGGCTGGGTGGTTTTTCTTGCGGATGTTTCATGAGCCAGCTAGGTCAGTCATCAGTACTGGAAGGGAGTGGGGCTTGTGGGGAGGAAGAGGAGGAGGAAGAAGAAGACGAGAAGGGGTGGGGGAATAAAGGTCCTTGGTGCTCTCTGAGTTTGGTAGTTTTCATGACCCAACTAGGTAACATCATCAGTGCTAGAAGGGAGGAGGAGGAGGAGGAGGGGTCCTTGGTGCTCTCTGAGTGGGGTTGTTTTCTTGCAGACGTTTCATGACCCAACTAGCTAACATAATCAATGCTAGAAGGGATTCTCCTCTTCTCTCCTCTCCACTCTCCCTTCTCCTCTTATCCCTTCCACTCCGCTCCCCTCTCTTCTTTTATCTTTCATTCTTCTCCTTCGTTCTTTTCTCTCCTCTCTCCCCTCCCCTCCCCTCCATCTCTCCTCTTTCCTCTCCTCTCTCCCTTCCCTTCCTCTCCCCTCTTATTCCCTCCACTCTTCCCCTTCTCCTCCCCTCTTCTTTTCTTTCATTTTTTTTCTCTCTCCTCTCCTCTTTCCCTTCCCCTCCTCTCCTCTTCTTTTGTCTTTTGTTCTTTTCTTTTGTTCTTTTCTCCCCTTCTCTCCTCTCTCCTTTTCCTCTTTCATTCTTCTCTGTGGTTCTTTTCTCTCCTCTCTCCTCTCTCTCTCCCCTGTCCTCTCAACAACGTTGGTATTGTTGCGTCCCTGTGTATCACGCTCACCTGGTTGTAAAATATCAGATTCGGGGAATTCGTCGAAATTGGAGGTGTCGTCTATACTTTTGATTTCTATAGTGATCGCAGCTGGCCTTTCCCTAAAACGAAAAGCAAACGTCACACAGATCAATGTTACAAGCAATCAGCACAACAATTGCGATCAGCACAACTGAATCTTGCTGCAAAAGATTTCAAATAAACCCACCACCTCTAATAAATAAATAAGTAAATATATCTGTTACTTCCATTCTGAATGCATTTAGACGAGTTTCCAGGTAGATCCAGGTGAGCCCACAATGACCTGGACTTACGACCATTTTTCATCATTATCACCACTGTGGCGTCCCCATGGTCACATGATCAAAATTCAGACACTCGGCAACTGACTCATAATTATGATGGTGCGGGGTCACGGGATGCGCTTTAGCGACCTTGTGACACACCAAGTCAATGACTACTCTGGCGGCGCAGTGGTTAGAAGGCAGAATTGCAGGCTAACACACTGCCCGCTGCCAGCAGTTTGATCCTGACCAGCAAAAGGTAAACTCATCCTTCTGTCCTTCCGACGTTGGTAAAATGAGGACCCAGATTGTTGGGGGGCAGAGGCTGGCTCTGTAAACCGCTTAGAACCCTGTGAAGTGGTATATAAGTCTACGCACTGTTGCTATCGCTACTAAGCAAACCCAGGAAACATGCAGCTTCTTTAAGGAGACACCAAGAGGTTCAACAGGCAGCTCTCACCTGGGATGTGAAGTATCTATCCCTAAATTTCTCCTGAATTTTTCCATTTTTCGCTAAACCTACCTGATGTGGGCCCAATCCACCCCTTCGAAAAACGCATGGCTCTTAATTTCTTCTACGCCGTTGCTGCCGACTCTGTTTTCCGCATCCGTGCAAAATCTGGAAGAGAGGCAAGGTTTAAAACAAAAAGGAAAGAAAAGTTATTACAGGTAGTCCTTGACTTACAACAATTCACTTAGTGACCGTTTGATGTTATAACACACTGAAAAATGTGACTTACGACCATTTTTCACAGTTATGTACGATTGTAGCAGCATCTCCATGGCTACGTGATCAAAATTCAGACTTTTGGCAACTGACTCATACTTATGACAGTTTTCAGAGTCCTGGGGTCACATGATCCCCTTTTGTGACCTTCTCTGACTAGCAAAGTCCAGAGGGAAGCCATATTCTCTTAACAACTGTGTGACTAACTTAACAGATGCAATAATCTGCTTAACAGCGTTAGGAAGAAGAGTTGTAAAATGGGGCAAACTCGCTGAACAAACATTTCACTTAGCAACATAGATTTTGGGCTCAATGGTAGTCATAATTTGAGGATTACCTATATTAAGGTAGCAAAAATGATGCAATCCATCACAGTATCTAGCCTACAACAATTTGCTTTCAAAAAATATTTGAAACAAAGCAAGAAAGATTCTGGCATTTTTGACACCTACAATCAGCCTGAAATTCCATTAAATCACAAGATCTCCGAAAAGATGCTCATCTTTTATCATCTTTTCTATCAGGAGGTGAAAAGGAGGGGTGGGATTCTACCGGTTCAGACGAACCGGATGTTAAATTTGCACCTGATTCACCAAACCGGTATTTGAACCAACCGGCTCAATTTTTGCTGTCTGAACTGGATGTAGGAGAGATCCAGGCTGAGCCCAAAGGAGGGGTCAAACCCATCTTCAATCATGAGACCCTTCAGAGTCCCCAGAGATCTAAGTCCAGCTCGCCGTGAATTCCTTATCTCCCGCTAATTTCCCTTGGCTGTTAGTAGTTCAGATTCTCTTAGAGAGCTTAAGCTTGCAATAAAACCTTTATCGCCGTTTACACTGTCTGGAACTTCTGATTTCGATGGCACTTGACTCCTTGCTTCAGAGGTGGTATTCAGCAGGTTCTGACCAGTTCTGGAGAACCAGTAGCAGAAATTTTGAGTCATTCGGAGAACCGGCAAATACCACCTCTGCCTGGCCCCGCCCCATCTATTCTCTGCCTCCCATTGAGTCCCAGCTGATTGGCTGGGTCTTCTTTGGTTGCCCTGCACAGGAGAACAGAGCTGGAAAGCAGGTTAGTGGGGTGGGGAGGGAATGGGATTTCACAGTAACCTTCCCCCAGGAGTGAGGAGGGAATGGAGATTTTACGGTATCCTTCCCCTGCCACGCCCACCATGCCACGCCCACAGAACCGGTAGCAAAAAATTTTTTGAATCCCAACGCTGCCTTGCCTCCTATCTACTGTTTTGTTGGCCAACTTAATGCTTAGAAATCTACCCTTGCACGAGAGCCCTTCCCTCCCATAAGCTAAGTTTCTCTGGTGAGCGATTCTAGCATTGTAATGTAAAGCCCCTTCAGCATAATGACAAAGCAAACTAGATGATCAATAACAGGCTAATATAACATAACACTTGATCTACTTACTTTAAAATGAGGTCCTTTGCTTTTTCTGAAATGGGCACTTCCAGCGGAAATACCAACGTTTCTTTCCAGTTCATAATTTTTCTATACGTTTCTTGCGGTGTTTCGGAGCAAAAGGGGGGATATCCTGTAGAATGGTAGGAAATGAAAGCGTTGAACTAGAGATGAACAATATTTAAATACCTGGAATAAATTTGATACACAGCATCGTATCAATTCCCCGTGGTTCTCCCACCAAAACTAATTTCCCCAACATCTCAGGGGTTGCCACAAAGAAGAGGGAGTCAAGCTATTTTTCATAGCACCAGAAAGCAGGACAAGAAGCAATGGGTGGAAACTAACCAAGGAGAGAAGGAACCTGGAATTAAGGAGAAACTTCCTAACAGGGAGGACAATTAGCCAGTGGAACTGCTTGCCACCAGAAGTTGTGGATGCTCCATCACTGGAAGTTTTTAAGAAGAAATTGTCTGAAATGGGATAGGGTTGGGCTAGAAGATCTCTAAGGTCACTTCCAACTTTATTATTCTGTCATTCTGAAATGCTGCCCTCCTTCCCTCCCTCCCTCCCTTCCTTCTCTATCACTGGAGGCTTTTAAGAAGAGATTGGACAGCTATTTGCCTGGAATGGTCTAGGGTTTCCTGCCTGAGCAGGGGGTTGGGCTAGAAGACCTCCAAGGTCCCTTCCAACTCTGCTTTCTATTCTATTCCTTTGAAAATGAAGGCGATCCGATCAGCCAATCCTAAAGGAGATCAACCCTGACTGTCCTTTGGAAGGGCAGACCCTGACGCTGAAGCTCAAAGACTTTGGCCACTAAAGGAGAAGATGAGAAAAAGACCCCCTGAGGTTGGGAAAGATGGAAGGCCGGAGGGGAAGGAGAGGACAGACAATGAGATGGTTAGATGGGGTCACTGACGCAATGTACAAACTCTGTGCTGTTAAGGTATTGGGATTTAAGAACTGCCCAGCAGCAAAGCTGATGTAATATAAAGCTGATGCAATGAAGATGAATCAGCATCAGTGGTGGGATTCAAATATTTTTGCCACCGGTTTGATGGGCATAGCTTGGCGGGCATGCTTTGCATGCCTGCACACACTTTGTGCACGCACCAAACACACACTTTGCGCAGGCGCAAAGGTGTTCTAACTCATCTCCTGCAAGCCTGCACCATCCCAGTCACTTCAGCAGCTGCCCCGTAGCACTATACTGTGCCGCACAAAGCAGCTGCGCTTCAAATTCAGCAGATAAAAGTCATTTTGGGAGTCCGGATGGGTGGGAAGGCCCAACATCAGAGCGGCAGAGAGAACTGGTTTCTGCTGCTCATCGCTGCTACTGGCTCGCCAGAACCGGGCTGAACCAGTTGAATACCACCTCTGATCAGCATTAGTACTGACTCTTTAAGAATGAGGATGAATCAGCATAGGTTCTACCTCTTTAAGAAGTGTCTATACAAAGGCAGCCATTTCAGGGCGTTTTCTCTCTCCTTGTGTCCTGTATCAATTGCTGAGTTCTCAGTGTAGAGTTAAGAAGATTGATTGCTTGTCAGGTATTTGCCTACCATGTATATTTCTGTATATGTCTTGTAGATAAATCACTGTTAAATGTCTGTCTTTGTGTGCTGTGTTTTGCTCCTGGGTTATCTCATAATGGCAGTCACGTTGCAAATGCTCTCACATGTGCTTCCCCTCTTTGCCTAGAACGGCCTCTTTTTAATTGCAGGCCCCATTTGTTCCTCTCACCTATTAGCATTTCGTACATGATGACTCCCAAAGACCACCAATCACAGAGTTTGTTGTAACCCGTTTGCATGAAAACCTCAGGCGCGATGTAGTCTGGAGTCCCAACAGTAGAATAGGCCTGAAAAAAGATATTTCAAAAAAAAGAGAGAGAGAGAGAGAGAGATTCAGGCCACCTTCTAAAACCGATCCAGGGTTATTATGTCTTTCCAAGAAAGCAGCTGTTCTGTTCTAAGCTTCCCCAAAAAGCACTAAGCCAACTCTGAGTCCCAGCCAAACCTCTTTGATTAAATGAATGTGAATTTAGTGCATTCACATTCAGCCAACGGCTTGGCGAACAGCCTTACATAGGTATACTTATTAGCTCAGACCTTATCTATCTTGGAAAGCTGCCCGGTAAATATTTCCACACTCAGTGCTGACAGGGGAGGGCTGGGTTACAAAGACAATTCTTCAAAAGGCTGGAACGAATGAATGAATGAGCAAGTTGTCTCCTGCAGAAGCCCCCTCTCCTTTTGCTCCTCTTTTAATCTCTATGGGAGGAGCCATTCATCGTCTACCTGTGGCCTTACTTCCATGTCGACCCTGAGTTCTTAACTGTGTCATTTTTTGGCAGCTCCACGCAGGCTGGGAACTGGTTCCAGAAGCTCCCCCATCCTCACTGCTGTCCGAGACCAAAGGCAGCTGACGACTGCCAGCCTGCCCTGGCCCCACCTCTGCCTCCGATGCAGAGCCCTCGTCTGAGCCTTCCTCAGCCTCCAGGACTGGCCCAGGTTCCACCCCAACCTCCTCACTACTGTCCAACTCTGCTGCCACTGGCGGGCCACACGAGCAGCCACTGGCAGGCCACACGAGCAGTCTAGTTCTGTAGTCTAGTTCTGTTTTTACACATTCTCTGAAAATGGCATTGTTTCACCTTGTTTACTTCCAGTTTCTGGCCAAAAATAAATAAATAAACAACAGGCACTGGGGGAAATTGATCCCACAGTCCTTCTCCTCCTCCTCCCTTTCTCCTCTACTCCTCAAACCCACCTCTCCCTTCTAGCACTGATGATGTTACTTAGTTGGGTCATGATATGTCTGCAGGAAAACAACCAAGCTCAGAGAAGACCAAGGACTCCATTCCTCCTTCTCCTCTTCTCCCCTCCCTCTCCTCCTCTTCCTCTTCCTCCTCCTCCTCCTTTCTAGCATTTAATGATGTTACTTAGTTGGGTAATAAAACATCTGCAAGACTACAAGCCAACTCAGAGAATGCCAAGGACCCTACAGTCCTCCTCTTTCTCCTCCTCCCTTCTAGCACTGATGATGTTACCTAGTTAGGTCATGAAATGTCTTCAGGAAAACAACCAAAGGGTTCAACTCTCTGAGCAACCCCCCACTTCCAGAACTGATGATGTTACCTAGTTGGGTCATGAAATGTCTGCAAGAAGAAAACCAAGCTCAGAGCGCTCCAAAGGAGGCCTTGAAGACTGCCTAACTTCCTCCAAACATTTTTACATTGGAAGGACTTTGCAGAACTCAACCAGGTCTCTGAGAATTAATACTCACCAGTTGTCTCCTGTTCTTCTTCCACGTTTCTGCTTTTCTTTTGGAGTTCATATTCTGAAAGGCTGAGTCACAAAGCAAAGAGACAGGTGAATGCTTTCCAATTTTAACGGAATCATAAAAATTCAGCCTGCTTATTGTTCCAATGCAGGATACAAAACAGGGCAGGAATGAATTACAGGGCATTTGCTCACGCAAACGTTAAAAAAAAAGTTATTTCAATTATTTCTTTCCCTCCCTAAATGTCTCATCAATGTAGACTTCCAACGCATTAAGAGCAGCTCTACGTTGGAGAGACAATCTTGAAAACGGTACATCTTAAAATTTCCCAAACACCAAAATCCATAAAACATGGAACTGCTTGTTCAAAAGACATATTAGGACATGACTTGGAGGCATCCAGCTACAGTTAGTTCTCAACTTACAACTGGTCACTTAATAAATGTTTGAAGTTACGTGTCAAGTCCAAAATATTTCTCTGGTCTTTTAGAGTTGCCAGCAGAAAGGGAGTGGGGGGAAGTAGTGCATTCCTTAAATGCTTCATAGATAATTACTAGGCAGCCGAAGCTTCTGGCACGCAAGATTGTTACTGGAGAGTATGATTGCTTGGCTATGGATGTGTCCCATTGGAGAATATACATCCAGGGGATGGGGGAAGACTAGGGTCAAGGGGGAAATGAATGATGTGTCTCAGAGTCGGCTGCACCCGGGTAGCACTGGCATGTTTCACTCCTAATAAATCTTCTTTAAACTCTGAGAGTTGTGGCTAGAGACTCATGATTTAAATGGGGGTTGATGCTGGAGACCTGACATTACTCTTGCCAAAGCGGCTTATGGCCTGTTCTCGGCGTTATGACAGCCGTATTCCCTCCCTATCCCCCACAGTCCCATGGTTGGATTTTGGACACTTGGCAATCTGCCCGTCTTTATGTCCATTTGTAGCATCCCATGGTCACATGACCATGATTTGGGAAGTGTTTCTTTTTTTTGGGTGGCCAGTTTCCATTGTTTACTTCTGGTTTCTGGCCAAAAAATGCCCATTGGGGGAAATTGATTCTATCATTCTCCTTCTCCCCCTCCTCTGCCCCTTCTCCTTCTCCTCCACTCCACACACCCCTCTCCCTTCTAGCACTGATGATGTTACCTAGTTGGATCATGAAATGTCTGCAAGAAAACAACCAAGCTAAGAGCACTAAGTCACTGATCTCCTCCTCCTCCTCTTCCTCCCCTTCAATAAGCATCACCTCTTCCTCCTTCTCCACTCCACACACCCCGCTCCCTTCTCGCAATGATGACGCTACCTAGTTGGGTTATGAAATATCTGCAAGGAAGCTACCAAGCTCAGAGACCACCAAGGACCCCAGTCGTTCTCCTTTTCCTCCTCCTCCTCTCCTTCATTGCCACCACCTCTTCTTTCTTCCTTCATTCCTCTCCGCAAACCCCACTCCCTTCTAACACTGATGATGTTACCTAGTTGGGTCATGAAACGTCTGCAAGGAAACCACACTGCTCAGAGAGCACCCAGGGCCTACCGTTCCATCCCGAGCCACAAATATTCTCCTCCATCAATACAATATGCAGAATATTTATCGTTAAAAGTGGAATGTGCAGTACTTACAGAAGTCACTCGGGGGGTTATGCGTAAGGTTTCTGTAGAATTCAGTTCGGTGAGCTTTCTTTAAACCTGTGCATAGCCCAAAATCAGAGAGTTTTACATGGCCCTACAGGAAGAAAACATTGCTCATATGATTAATCCAGGTGGTTGATGTAAATATGTACTTCTGGAGCAATTCCCCGATTTACATCTCACCATCAAGCAGGCCAAGCACAAAAGTTGCCAGTTCATCATGTCTGAGCCATCGAGACGCAAATGGATGGATTTGAAGCAAACTTTTATTACTCTTTTATTTGCAAAATTTATTGGCCATCCATCCTACCGCACAGTAACTCTGGGCGGCTTATAATATTAAAGATAAAACTGTATAAAACATAACACACACACACACACACACAAAATACAGGTAATCCTCGACTTACAACAGTTCATTTAGTGACGGTTCAAAGTTTTAACGGCGGCTGAATAAAGTGACTTATAGTGACTCAGCAACTTTCAGCTGGGGGGACTTCAACTCCCAGAATTCAACTCCCGGAAGTGTGGACGTCAACTTCCGGAATTCTATTCTGTGGAATTCTGGGAGTTGAAGTCCACCCAGCTGAAAGTTGCTGAGACATCCCATCCTAGAACAAGGACACAAAAGAGAGGACACGTATGAATATTACATACCTTTGCATCCAGCAAAAGATTATCGGGTTTAATATCTCTGTGAATAAACCCCAGCTGGTGAATGGCGTCAATAGCCAGCACGGTTTCAGAGATATAAAACTGTGTCTCTTCCTCAGAGAGTGTATCCTTCTTCATGAGCAAAGTCATCATATCACCTGAATCAGAGAGAACAAGATACAAGACTGTATTTAGCTGGAGTTGAGCTGCAAAAAGCAAGGAAGACAAACTGAGTTAATTGTGAGCAGCTTCCTTCGTTGCTTCTCACCTACAGACAGAATCTTGCCAAACTAAAGCAGACCATTTGGATCATTATAGTCTAAGAATTGTTAGGAAGGAGCCGCCTTATCTCTTTGCCTCCCTGCTGAAGTCTAAACTTTGCTGTCTCCCTCCCTTCTGGGAATGCAGCCCCCTCCCTTCTGGGAATCCAGACTACATTCTACCACAGCTGGTTTCGATAGAGGAAAAAAAAGAATAAAAATGACACCATGATCTCCTATGCCTCCACTCCACCGGTTCACCTCCCAAATACCCCTGACCTAATGTAACCTCCCTATCACAAGACCCTTTCACTGATGACTCACACCTGACCCATCACAAGACCCTCACTTGACACACCCACACCTGAAACAGAAGAACACCGAGACTGACGGAAACTAACTCAAAACCTGAGAGAATGTACCTTCCCGCTCAAATGATACAATCTCCACTATTCCAAACATTACTATGAGAATATGGCAGGATCACAGAACATAGAATAATAAGGTTGAAAGAGACCTTGGCAGTTTTCTGGTCCCACCCCAGGAGACCCTCTACCATTCTGGACAAATGGCTGTCCAATCTCTTCTTGAAAACCTCCAGTGATGAAGCCCCCACAACTTCTGGAACTAAGCTATTCCATGGATTAATTGTGGACCTTAATCGCAAAGGATATTTCACTAAGGGATAAGCAGAAGGCATTCCAGGAGGGTTAGGTGGCCCACACTCCCTTGCTACCAACATTCATGGTTTTGGTTTTTATAGGTTTGTGTTGGATTTATCTTAATGTTATTGGGGCACAGACTCCAAGTCAATGCAAATAAAATATTTCCCACCATTAAGAGAGAGATAAAAAAATGGCTGCCAGGCTGAAGACCTGATTGTCAACACAAATCTTGGCCTTGGGGGGAAATGGCAGTTTTTCCACGAAAATATTTGCTGAATTGTTCAATGATTCCCTGAAATAATTTCACGGAATTGTTTACCTCCTGGAAGAAACTCCATAATCAAGTAAAGGTTGCGTTTGTCCTGAAAACTATAGAACATCTTCACGACCCAGGCACCATCAGCTTCTACTAGAATGTCCCTTTCTGCTCGTATATGAGCCACCTGTCAATCAAATCAAAGTTGAAGGTAAAAAATGGGTTTGCCTACCAAACAAATGTGTACATGAACAGTTTTCAATGCAATGAAACTTTTATTGCTGTTAGGCGCAAAGGCAACCTTTCCCAACTCGCTGGCACTCAGCATAAGTTAATCTTGTAAGTCGAGAATTACCTATAGTTTGTTCTTCAATCCCACTGTCAGAATTAGCAATGATATTTTGATATTATAGAGGTCATCTGCGCATCTACCATGAGTGGTATAGTGGCCTAGAGGTGGAGCACTCACCTCACAATCGGGAGACTGTGAGTTCGATCCTAAATATTTCTCTCTCTGGGCAAACTGAGATTATATCTGTGGAACAAAACTCCGCATTGATGACAGGAAGGGCATCCAGCCAGTAAACACTTGGCTGCATTCAGTTGCCCAGACTCCACCCCGCAGGGGATTATGGGGTCATTAAAAGAAGATGATCTGCGCATCTCCCAGGACCAGTGCAAATTCGGTTCAGTGTTGTCCATATCACACTGAGCTGCTCAAATCAGTCCTTGGTCAAAACAACTAGTTAACACATACAATTCACCGCAAAAATATATGCCTTTTAGATATCGGTTTGCACGTGCTTTAAAGTTATATTTGAAAAAAAAAAGAGAGACATACTTGCTCTTTTTCCAGCATGTCAGCTTTTCTCAATATTTTCATGGCATATATATGACCCGTATCTTTTTTCTGAACTAATCGGACCTGTGGATTAAAAAAAAAAAAGTAGCTTTGAATCATGGACTTCCAAGTTCGAAGCGCTAATTTAAAACAAGCATGCATAAACTTTTCCTTTCTGGTTGTTCCTAAAAGCCAATGCAATCCTAAATTGCATTAACAGGGATGCAATCCAGATCAAGGGAGGTGCTAATACCACTCTATAAAGCCTTAGTAAGACCACACCTAGAGTACTGCATCCAGTTTTGGTCACATTATAAAAAAGATATTGAGACTCTAAAAAAAGTGCAGAGAAGAGCAACCAGGATGATTAGGGGACTGGAGGCTAAAACAGATGCTGAACGGTTGCAGGAACTGGCCTTGGCTAGTCTAGTGAAGAGAAGGACCAGGGAAGACAGGATAGCTGTCTTCCAATATTTGAAGGGCTGCCACAGAGAGGAGGAGGGGGGTCAAGCTATTTTCTAAAGCTCCTGTAGGCCAGACAAGGAATAATGGATGGAAACTGATCAACGAGGGATTCAACCTAGAAATAAGGAATTTTCTGATAGGGAGAACAATCAACCAATGGAACAGAAGTTGCCCTCGGAAGTGGTGGGAGCTTCATCACTTGAGACTTTCAAGAAGAGATTGGACTCCCATCTGTCAGAAATGGTGTAGGGTCTCCTGCTTGGGCGGGGGGGTTGGACTAGATGACCTACAAGGTCCCTTCCAACTCTTGTTAATCCATTAATCTGACATCTGCTTAAGTTCCCTTCCAACTCTGTTACTCTCTTATTCCTTCTGTTGTGGCGTTCAACAACTTCATGGTTGTCAGTGTAGCGATCCTGCAAAGTGGTCAAGAAAATATGCTGGGAAATCATTCTTGAAGCCCAACCACTAACCTCGCCAAATGCCCCTCTTCCGATCACCTTCAGAGATTCAAAGTCATCCAGGCCCAGTCTCGTCCTTTTCAGCCTTAAAAATTCCGTTTCTTTGTGGGCGTGCTGAGATCTTCGGAGCTTTTTCTGGGGGGCAACCAAACATCCTCTTTAAAAGACTGCCACACTTCTGAGAATTATTTCTAAAACCACAAGGTGGCATCGTATACTAATTTAACACGAGGCTTCCTGCTTTTGACATGCTTTCGGGCAAAGTATCAACTTACATTCATATAAAACAACAAATATAATGCCACACACGATCAAACAAGTCCTAAAGTCCAGTTTTACTTGTGGAAGAGCACCTCATTTCGTTGCACCCGCTTGCGAGTGTAATGACAAATAAAATTCTTATGTCTTATGTCTTAAAGTCATCATCTAGGAAAAAAAACGATAGCATTGTGTACCAGCAATAATTATTAATAACTACATATAATTTGGAAGGAGTACTTATATACCTTTGTTTTTCTTACGCAACATTAATAGATAAAATACAGTAATAATTCATTTTGTGATATATATGGCTGTAATAGAAAGCAATGCATTGGTAAAACTTCCACAAATGATTAGCTCTTTATTGCACCAAAGGAGAAGCTAACTTGGTTTAATTTGACTATCCTAGTCACTGTTTATAGCTTGTGCATTCCTGGCAGAAGGACTGCTAAGATTTTAAAATATATTTGAAAAATACGGGTAGTCCACAGGTCCCAATGGTCATAAATTGAGGATTATATGTGTATATAGAGAAATATGTATATGTATATATATATATGAGGAAGCTACGTATCTTGTAAATGTTAAAGTCAACATAGCATAAATATTCTAACAGAGGAGCCCTTACTACTATTTTACTTATTTACCTCCGAAGTATTTTTCACGCTGGAGTTCCTTTAATAGAAGCCATGGGTGTATAAATCTGAAAATAGTCTGATTTTTTTCTCTCACTGCTGGCCCTTTCCTCCATTTACTACTTTTTCTTCTGTTGACTTTTTCTGGCCAATGTTATTAAAACAAACACACACACACACACAAATTTTGCATGCAAGTTATGAATCATTAAGGATTGTACCAATCTTAAGCAAACAAAAGCTATAAAAACTTTCAGCTTCACAAGTATCGGAATTACCTCTTCATCTGCTAAGCCTTCTTTCTCCATGGCTACTTCTAGCTTCTTCTGCCTAAGTTGGAGGTACAAATCACGTATTATGAAACAACTCTTTTTTTTTTTTTTGCATGCCAAAACAACTAGACACAAAGACAGTTCCCCCCCCCTGTGCCATTATGCAACTAAACACATCATTCCCACAGCACTCTCTTATGCCTAAGGATATCAAACAATGTCGTATGACTCTATTATTATTATCCTTCTCATCTTTCCTATTAACCTACTTCTATTTGTATCTTATGACTCCCATTTTGTTGCTTGTATCTTATGATTTATGACTTCATTGCTTGTATGGATACTGAGAGCTTCTGCATCAGATGCTTTGAGCGTCCAATCACACTTGGCCAATAAAGAATATTCTATTCTATTTTAGAATTGAAAAAGAGGGTTATTTCACCTCAAACACAGAAACCTGGGTCCAAAGTCTGAGTTGCACAACACAAGGCAAGTTAATAATCATGGAGAGGACCACTAAAAGGAAGAGAAAGTCTTTCTCATTCCAAAATTCTTCCCCCATTGCATTATTCAAGTTCTCGTCCAGATCTCTTTATTGGTACTTGAGACAGGTAGAAAGAAAGAAAGAAAGAAAGAAAGAAAGAAAGAAAGAAAGAAAGAAAGAAAGAAAGAAAGAAAAAAAGAAAGAGAGAGAAAGAAAGAGGTTTATTTATATAGATAACCTGATAAAAATGTATCCCTCAACTTCCTGGATGACAATTCAAGATCAAGAAAAAGGAAAGAGACACGCTGCAGGATTCAAGCATCACATTAATGGTCAATGTCTCCTTGACAGATTGAAGGAACACAAATGGGCTGCATCCATTCAACAGTGAAACCAACCACGTCATATCGTGATTTAGTGTGACGTTTGAACCCAGCCATCATTGTCTGTCCCAACTTGGCAACTTCAAGACAGGTGGACTTCAACACCCAGAATTCCCCAGCCAACTCTTCATGCAAATTGCACTGCAAAAGTCTAAACTGGAGATTTGACAAAGGTTAAACAATCATGGCCAAACCCAGATAAGGTTGCAGCTGGCAAACAAGGTATGAGATATGTGTCAACAGAAGTGTTTGCAGAGTAACAACGGTAGTGCCCGGGAACAAAACCTACCTTGGTCTTCTGGTTAAGTAAAGACTAAAAGAATTAACTTTATAACATTACACACTATTCATCTTCATTTAATGACACCATAATCCCTTGCGGGCGGTAGAGTCTGGGCAACTGAATGGAGCAAGCAGAATGCTTTAAAGACCAGATGCAGAGGTGGTATTCAGCCGGTTCTGACCAGTTCTGGAGAACCAGTAGCAAAAATTTTGAGCAGTTCGGAGAACTGGCCAATCCCACCTCTGACTGGCCCCACCCCATCTATTCTCCACCTCCCATTGAGTCCCAGCTGATTGGCTGGGTCTTCTTTGGTTGCCCTGCACAGGAGAACAGAGCTGGGAAGCAGGTTAGTGGGGTGGGGAGGGAATGGGATTTTGCAGTATCCTTCCCCTGCCACACCCACCAAGCCACAACCACTAAGCCACACCACACTCACCAAGCCACACCCACAGAACTGGTTATAAAAAATGTTGAATCCCACCACTGGCCGGATGCCCTTCCTGTCACCAATGCGGAATTTTGCTCAGCACATAAATTGGGTCACGAAATGTCTGCCAGAAAACCACCAAGCTCAGAGAGCACCAAGGAGCCCACAAAACTATTTTGGTTCCCATCAGGCAGTTCTCCTCCCCACCTAAGGGTATCCCCAACAGCAATGTCTAAACCTCCCCAAAGATTTGCTATTAAAGCCGGATGGGACCACCATTACCTAGTTTCTCTTTCTTCATGCTGCAAGATGAGGTTACTATAGAAGTTCTCCAGAGTAAGTTTGGCCACTGTGACTCGCTCCCGGGTGTGGTTGCTCATAGGAAAAGACGTTGGAGTTGCTGCAGTCATTGCCATAGTAACCAGCACTGAAAGAGAGCCCATAAAATAAAATAATTACTCAACGGAATAATAATTGTTCCTCGCCTTCTCCTCCTCCCAAACCCACGGTGGGAAATATGGAGTTTCTTCCAATATTTGTTTGGCAAGGTGGCACGTTCTCTCACTCACACACACCTCTGGCCATCTGAAATGAATAAACCCAGCCTGAATCATACAGGAAGCAATTTATTTAGTGTGTGTGTGTGTATGTGTGTGTGAGAGAGGGGGGGGGAGAGGGAGGGATGGAGAGAGGGAGAGAGGAAGAGAGGGAAAGAGGGGGGGGGGGGGAGAGACCCAAGATATTTATGTTAATATTTTCAGCCCAGGCTCCAAACTGCAGCCATGGAGTCCCGCAAAAATATGCCAAAAGCGATGGGACAAATTTTATGTTTTATTGTATTTATTGGGATTTGTCAAACAAGAACAAGAAGAATAAGAGAATAAAAATGCAACGACAGGGACGATAGGCACGTCAGTGCGCTTATGCACGCATCTTCTACTGACCCCTTAAACATGAAGTAAGGTCCCCGGAAGTCAATTTGCGATTGAAACTGTGAACATTTGTAGCTGAGACAACGGAATCAGGTAGGGCATTCCAGATCTGGACAACTCTATTACAGAAATCATATTTTTTACAGTCAAGTTTAGAACGATTTACATGGAATTAAAAGTGGTGGTTCGCGGGTATATTATTACGATTAAAACAGGAAAAGTCATTTACAGGTAAAGCATTACTACGTATAATTTTGTATGCAACACCTAGGTCTGACCACGAGAGACACAGTTCTTAAGTTATCCAAAGCAAGAATTTCGAGCCTAGTCATATAAGAAATTCTGTCCTGTACAGAAGAGTGCAAGACTTTTTGCCAAGTTGTTTGTCTGGCTCATTGCCACGTATTTACAGATCGTACGACTTAGAAAAAGTTCACTTAGTTGAAGTTTGTCTTCACTTGGACTTCACTCAGTTTTGCTGTTTATAGAAGGGGGCGAGCAATATGTACCTGGGTCCACATATTAAATATACGGCCCGGTGAAAGGCCCATGTTAATACAACACATGCCTCATATGGGGCCAGAATCTGAACACGACATTTAATACAACACAATTTCTGACTCAGCGTATGTGGACCTGATTGGGGTAGATTGTGGGGTGTGTGTGTGTGCCACTGTATTCTATTTTACTTGTTTTATGTATTAAATTATTGTATTTTATCCTATAAGTGTTGTATTTTGCCCGACTCTCGTTTTAAATTGTTTTGAGTTGAATTTTATTGGTAATACGTGTTTCATCCTGTACGTTGATATGGCCTATAGGCCAGGGGTGGGATTCTACTGGTTTGGACTGGTTCTATAGAACTGGTTGTTATGATTCTGCCCAGTTCAGAGAACCGGCAAATCGTGCCATTGGCTGGCCCCGCCCCTCTCCGTCTGCCCCTCCCCTCCCTGCCCAGTCAATCCTTATCATGCATGTGTGACACCGCGCGCATCGCTGACTGCATTCTCCTCCACCCACCCCATCCCGCCAGTCACTCCTTACGGTATTTCTTTTTTTTCTCTCCTCCCGACGATCAGCTGTTCCAACAATCAGCTGTGCTGGATCCCCCTCGCTGTCTTCCTGATTCACCTGGGAGGCTTCCCTGAGGCCCAGGAGGCAAAAACTGGAGTGCAGGGGGGCTGTGCGGCCCTCCCACACTGGTTTTTTGCCTTCCTGGGCCTCCGGGAAGCTTCCTGGGAGCAAAAATGCCCCCCAGGAGGCTTCCCTGAGGCCCAGGAGATCAAAAAATGGATTGTGTATGTGGGAAGCGCTGCCCCCCCAAAAAGAATCCATGTCCACCCAGTCACATGGCCACGCCCACCTAGCCACACTCATAGAACCGGTAGTAAAAATATTTACATGCTACCCCTGCTATAGGCTAATCAGTCAATCAATATATATAAAATATAGTCACCATAAATTCTTCTCTTGGAGACACAAATTTTCAGATTGGCCAATTTCTCTCGCATAATTCTGAAAACCTAAAAGTGGACTAGCTATTTTTTCCCCTTTTCCTTTCCCACTGTTATGTTTTTCAACCCACCGAGTTCATCGCTAAGCTAGAAGCGCCATTCCCTAATACCAACTTACTACGGGTAGACCTTGACTAACGACCATGACAGAGTCCCAAAATTTTGTGTTGCTAAATGAGAAAAGTCTGAAGCGAGTACTGCCCCCTTTTTATGACTTTTCTTGCCACCTTTGCTAAGCGAATCGCCACCACCATTAAATTAGTAATAGGTTTGTTAAGCGAATCTGGCTTCCCCGTGGGCTTTAGCTGTCCAGGAAGTTGCAAAAGGAGATCCCGGGGACACCACAACTATCATAAATGCGAGTCGGTTGTCAAGCATCCGAATGTCAAACACACTGGGGACGCTGCAGCGAGCGTCAAACAGTCATAAGTCACTTTTTTTCAGTGCAATTGTAGCTTTCAATGGTCACTGAGTGAACTGTCATAAGTCAAGGACTACCTGTAAACATGGCTTCCTTTCTTGGATCAATCAACTGCCTTTCACAGTTAGTTTTGACTTGTTGCTGGCCGGCAAATAGATCTCGATGCCACAAACTGAGTTGTTTAGTATTTTTTAATTTAAAAAAAATTAACTGAAAGGGGACATTCAGCCTCCAAATAGTTCTTTTAAGGGGCTGCCAATAAAATCCCCCTGAATGTAATAGCCTTGTATTTAAGCACCAGCCATGTAACCACAGCTGAGAAGGCATGGCACACAAACAGATTTAACTGCCACCCCCTACCCGCCACCCCGAGCATGAAACCCATGACCGAAATAGTTTGCCAAACATGAGAAAGTTGTTTTTGAAAAGTCAGTGGAAGAATACAATCCTCACTTATTCTCTCGGTCGGTTCTAGCTGGCTCAGGAATCTCGACGCCACCCAACGTCCAATTTGCAAAGCAGGGAGTCTTGGATAAAGCTGGAGTTTAAAACGCTTCCCAATGTTTGAGGGACGGAAAACATAACCCTGAATATGGCTGTCTTAACAGCATTATGGGCTCCGGGCAAAGCAGCGTACTGCGGCCGCTGCTATGACAACTACTCACAGGAATAAAAATGCAAATGGTCGATAAAATGAAACACATGTTTGCATGTTAGTATTAATTTTAAAAATGCAGTAAAACCAGGGGTGGGATTCTACCAGTTTGGACCAGTTCAAGGGAACCGGTTGTTCCGGCAATCATTTAGCCCTGCCTGCCTGCCCCTGATCTAGTTTGTCCTTCATTTCCATGTTTTGCAGCCCAGCTGATTCACACAGCCTCAGCTGTTTTACTCACCGGGGTTGCAGTAGAAGGTAAATAATAGAACTGAAAATGTACAAAGCGCGCACTCACCAAATCAGTTGGTTCCACCGGTTGAATCCCACCGGGTAAAATCTGCACCTGCTGCTGGTGAACCACAACAAACTTTCCAAGACTTTCCAAACTGGGACCTGTCCTTTTTTTTTTTAATTTCCCAAGGAAAGGCTCTTCGAGAGGAATTATCTGCATATCTTAATTCATAAGAGAGCGAGGGTTATATAAGGAGAGAGCGTGCCCTGGAGAAAGGCAATTAGGGCATTCAAAGCTTGTCCCTTTAGGCATACACACCTCTGGCTCCCAGTTCTGTCTGAGACAGTGTTAGAACTATAAATTGTGATGTTCCAGTAAGAAAAAGAATAGAAGGATAATCCAAGTAGGCACGCTGTCGAAGATGACTTGTAGAGAAAGCAAACTTGTCTATTGTAAGGCAAGATCGGTCCCCTTTAGACAAAAATCAAGAATAGGAAAACTCTTTCCTTACATCAAGAGCACAATTGATCCCCGCAGGTATAAGGGGCTGAGTTGGCCGTGGATTGGAAACTTTGCAACTGGGAGTAAAATGCTACTAACTCAAAACCTTTGCCAGCCTTCCACCTTCTCACGCAGCCGGTTACCACTGCATCTGTTCCAAAACTCACAGGTTGTGCTTTCTCAAAGGAAAGAGACAACATAGCTTACTGTTTGGGTTTTCCATCTGCTATCTGTTTTCTAAAGCCCCTATCCAAATTCCACACAACACTGTTTACCGCCAGCTTTTACTAACGCACAAGGATGTTCGATCGGGAAGACACAAAACCAGGATGTAAGACAGTTGCATTTTCTGTCTAAATACGGGTTCTGACCCAGCTCCCCAAACACAACACTTTGAAGTTAACTCAAAATATTTCTTTATTAAGAGTGCCAGCTGCCCCGGCAAAAAGTTTCTCTCTCAGCGCAGGATAACAAGTCTGTCTGTCCATCCAGAACATGAATAGTTGTCTTCCACATCTATTCATCTCCACCCGCTGCCTTTTATCCCCAGAGCTTGGGTGGTGCTTCACTAGCTGGGGTGGCTCTTCTATCCCAAGGACCGGCCCATAGATTTCCACTGCTCTCCTCTCCTCTGCCTTCTGCGCATCCATGTGTCAGGCACTGGACCTAGCTGTTCCTCTTCTTCCTCATCGGCCACCTCCAGACCTGGGGGCTGTTGACTCTCCATCTGATGGCTGATGGACAGCCCAGGCTCCGCCTCTGTCTCTGTCTCTCTCTCTCTACCAGCTCCATTCTCTCTTCCCCTTCAGAGCTCCCAGGTTGCCTTAATGCTAACCCCGACTCACACACCTCCTCCTCCTCCGATTTGGCTGCTGGGTGGGGCCGGTGTCTGATAGGCCACAACAATACAGAGAGGATTTAAATACAGATATTTTCAAAGGCCTCAGGGATTGCACAAGAAGTTGTAAAGGACATATCCACCCATACCACCTTTAACCTATTCCTCTTCCACATTTTGCCCAGTATAATAGGCCCCAAAATATATAATTGGGTATACAGGTAGAACTTGACTTACAACAGTTTGTTTAGTGACCATTTGAAGTTACGACAGCACTGAAAAAAGCGATGTACGAGCGTTTTTCACATTTACCAACCTCAGGATCATGCCC